TATTTCCAGTTCTGGGTCTTCAAACCATAGCATTTGATGTAGTAAATAGACAACATTCCTTGTATGTGTTAAACCCAGGATCTCCTCAATGTAAAATCATTGGTGTTATGAAGGCATGATGGGGAGTAACATGTATATGAAGGACCAGCAGTCAGAGTGTAGACTGAATAATGAATGGTGAATGTTTTGTATTGTCTCCTTATCTCTAATAAAAAGCACGAAACTACTGACTTTGATTTTTTTTTTTTCTCCTCAAAATTCATGTTTCAGGTCTTGGTAACCTGTTATACAACCTGGTTTCTCTTATAACGGCATCCTAATTGTAGTTGATTGCTCCCATTTGTAAAGTCTTCATTGTAAGTCTGACGCTCGGACCTCTGCGCAAATGGTTAAGCAATAAAACTACTCATCCACTTCGATCAGGACTGTAAATAACGATTATTATCAGGAAGGCACATGGGTTTCAGTTCAGTCATTTTAATGCTCATTTTCAATCTGACAAAACTTGAAACATAAAAACGTTTTTACGGTGGAAAAGAACGGTTGCTTTATCGGTAGGAGTAAACTGAATAGACTGAACTTATGAAGTACACAATGTATGTGATTTAAACGTCCGCTAAAGATGCATAAAATAGCGGCAGACAAACATAGCTCCAGAAGAAATGTGACAGCACCTCAAATACATGAAACAAGCCAAAAAAGCTTACCAAGTTTACATTAAAAAAAAAAAAAGTTTGAGGTTTGACTGGCGCTCTTTTAGTTACGTCATCTTATTGCGCCCTCTGCAACAGTTTAATGCATCGGCGTTCATATAGTACATCCTTGGTTCAAGGCACCCTATTGGAAAATTAGCCTTGTTTTCTTTTAGTCTAACTCCCGTCAGTCATGTTTTACCGTAACCAACTGGCCGCTCTAAAGTCAACTTAACCCAAACTACAATGTCAGTTAGGTAAATTGATGCAGTCCCCGCTCTGACCACACGAGGGCACCCCAACAACTCTCAAACCAAGTCAAAACTATGAATACAAATACTGTTACAAATCTGTTTATTAAAATATATCAAGAATTTTTAAATAAAATTAACTCTCTCCAGTCCACAATGACGAGACCAAGCTGTCAGCTGAAACATTAGGTTGAAAAGCATCAGTGGTGTCTATAAACTACTGTGGAGTCTTTATTAGAATCTGCTTTATTGGCCACGAGCTCCGTGTCTATCAGAAGTCAAACGGTGACAGAAGAACCACATTGTTCCTTGAAGAGCTGTCCCAATACCAAACCATTTCTTAAACAAAAAAAAAAAACAGGAAGAATGAAAAATGTCCTCAGATTGCTGTCATCCACTGTAGGAAAATCTGCTGTGCCTGACACACTGCACAGACAAGGAACAGCCTTGTTTTCCCCCTTGCAAAAAGTGCCTTATGTTAATACTCTGGAAACACTGGCTGTGAGTAAGAACATATTGAAAGATGCTAGGGTGATTATCTCACAGGCAGATTTGTTTACTAGGCCAGGAAATTACAGGGAGCAAATTAAACACAGGAAAGAAATAAATCACTGAAGGAGAAATGATCCAAAAGAAAGTAATTGGATCTGCTTTACTGGTATGTTACTTTTGTATGGATGTTATTCTGTTTCCCCTTCTTTGGGAGAAATGAGATATTTCACTCTGTATTTTGTCAGTCAATTTGTTCTTGTATTTTTCATGCTGTACTTTCAAAATTTCAATTTGTCCTACTTTTTTTTCAGTCCTGGACACAGTCTAGTCGATTACCATGTACCCAGAAACAGATCTGGGCAAACTTCAGAGGAGTGATGCGCACAGCTACATTGTAATCCCGGTTCTCCCCATCTATCTCTAACCACTGGTGTCCAGAGAAAATGCCGATAACCTTCCTTTCCCAGCGCTCTAACCCATTGTCCCATACTCTTCCGTACACTCCAGAGCCACTGGCCCCCGGCCGAGCATCACAGTGCTGGTATATCAGGTCGCTGGACTCTTCCTCCACAGGACAAAATCTATAGACAAGCTCCCCAGGTCTGTCACTGTCAAAACCAGAGAAGTGAATGCGCTTCCCCGACAGGTCATCAGAGGAGGGAGCCACAGAGAGGCGCATGAAGGGACGTTTATGAGGCCATCGCAGCTCCAGCAGAGCATAATCAAAGTCCATGCTGACCTCCTGAGGGCCCTGGATCCAGCCTTTTGGCACACGGGTACGTTTCACTCTCACCCAGCGGACCAGAGGCTTCTCGGATGAAGCAAGGCCAGCTTTGGTGCCATTTATGGATGGAGGGATCAGGAACCCCACCCTGAGCTTCCTCGCCCCTTTCACATAATCTTTCCCATCATGCACACAGTGGGCAGCTGTGAGGACGTGCCGCTGAGACACAAGCACCCCAGTGCAGCCAGTGGAGATCCGCACAGCTGTGGAGAAAGGATAATCCAACAGGAAGTTGTCACCTTGGATATTAAAGCGGCCATCTGCTCCATAGATCTGGCGCCTCACACGCTTATGTCCAAGTTTCACTCTGGGTCCTGTTTTAGGAGAAGGATGAGGTAAATGACCTGCATCATGGTCATACTCATCCTCACCCTCCACATCCACAGTAGTGAGAGTGCGGGAGCCATCAGCATACAGAGTCTCAAAAGCCAGTTTGTCAGTGAGCTGCTCCTTCTGTTCCTGCTCCTCTCCTCTGTGGAAGCAGCTGGAGTTGCAGTGAGTGGTGAAGTCCAGCTGAGTCAGAGCGCTGAAGTGGGAGCGGGTGAGGGGTGTGGGTGTGTGAGGGACCAGTGTGGGGATGTGGATCAGAGGGAGGTGAGGAGGGTGCAGCAGGGACAGGGAGAGGAGAAGGAGCTGGAGGAGCAGGAGCAGGTGAGTCAGAAGGGAGCTCTCACGTGGCATCATCACGGTGACGGAAAACACTGCAATGAAAGAAAGTAATCACACACGTGAGAAAACAGCTTGAGAAAGTGCACAAATTCCTACATGTCTGTAAAGAAAACAACCATGGAAAACATTTCTAAATGAACTGTCTTACAAATACACAAACTCTAATCCCTCATGAATCTGGACCTTCTCACAGTTGATTGTTGATAGTAAATCACAGTGCCTATGCAAGTGAGGTCAGCTTGCAAATTCTAATGTTGCAATGCAGGCCCGAGCTTCATCTAGTGTGGTGAGGCACACAATGAGCCTCTTGTTCCTACAATATAGATTACCAGGAAAACAGGATTTCAGCCTGATGCAAAGAAACAAACATTTTGTCTATTTGGCACAAAAAGTCATGGAAAAGGTTCAAAAGGAAGCAAAGTGGCTATATGAACAGCTACAGAAACCAAGAGTAGCAAATGCCCTATAACAAAAAAGACACTGAGATTACTTTAAATGATTTTTTTTAAACATCTAAATATTGTTTCCCAGACAAGACAGATTCAAAGAGTTTGGGATGTTCCAACAAAAAGCCTCCAATCAAATATTTGTCAAAGCTCAGAGATAAGAAGTTGTTTTCCATCAAACATTAACTGCTTACATGGGGCATTCAGAGAAGATTAGAAGCGATAAGGAGATACTTGATCCTCTCTAAAGGCTGTGGACCCTGAGGAACTCATGGCACCAAGAGATCAGGTGTGCAAAAAGTGAAAAGAAACAAGTCGAGGCACAGCAGAAAGACAGCATTATTCCTAAGAGAAGACAGGGTGGGGCCAGTCTACACACCTATGTGCTGTCAGGTATAACATTACAAAGTCGGCAGAGTTACAAAATGGAACACCTGGGAAAGATTCCTTCCATGTAGACAGATACGTGAGAGCTGTGGCACAGTCTCCACACCAATTACAGAGCATCTTAAGAGGTTAATCCCTTAATTTACTGCATAAATGTGACCCCAATATCATACACTATTAACAAAACTCTGGAAAGTCAGATATAATCTAAGTTTTAAAATATAAACCCATGAGATAACTGTGCCCATATCAGGGTTTAAACATGTTGTTCTGGCTCAAACATCGCAGCCCTTCCTAAGGGTTATGGATGGAAACCACAGAGAAATGATCCAGAAGACACCCGTGTGCACAAGTGACAACATATACCTACAGGCAAGATGGTAAGAGAACATTGATTTCTGGGCTTTGCATCTTTGAGAAGCAGTATATTAGTGCAAATAAATCTTTTCACTGTTACTGTATATAAAAAAGGAAATAAAAAAATGACGGACAATTAACACCAGTAAATAAACATAATCTTAGCTAGTGTAATGTATGCAGCAACATCATATAAAGTTCAGCTCCTTTAATATACAACAGAGAAGTACAGATTGCCTAAAGTTTACCTGAGAGAATGGTTGGATGAATGATTAGGGATGAAAAAGTGTAGAAAATGAGAAGAACAAACATCTGAAGCCTCATCCAGACATTCCTTATTTAAATCGCTCACCATCATTTCACTCCAACCAAACATTTAGCATGAATGATCACACTACACCTGGCTACATAACGCTGTAAAAAACTATCTTTATTCCCTGTAAATACAATAGTGGTGGTGTGTCCTGAACAGCAGTGAAGGCATGGCAGGGAAACTCTGCTGGTATGCCTAAAATGAAAATGAAAAAAGGACAAACTTTAATACATTACCTCCTATTTAGAAATTAGTGGTCTGTGTTTACACTCCAGTCAGCGTTTCCTCCCCATCTGACAAGTCCTTCATGATCATTTTCCAGATTGTCCTCATCAGCTCTTGTGCAGGCAGGTACTTTCTCCCTCCTCTGTCTCTGGATCTTTCCCCCGCAGAAGTGACCTCTTACTCCCAAAGAGCTTGTGCAAATACTGCTGAGCCAGTAGGTCTGAATGTCTTCTGAAACCTGCCCAGCACAGACAAGGAGTCACAAATAAAAGTCTTGTCTGAAAAGAATGAAGTGTTTTCTCTCCCTGAAGCGTCCTCCCTCAGGTCCTAGCGCCTCCCCTCCTGCTGAGACTGGCTGCCAGTATAATAGAAGACTTTAACTGTAGCTTTATTTAACACTTTATATATGATGACAATTAAAAAAAAAAACATTTGTATGTTAAAATCCGATATGACAATTTACACCATTTATAAGAAAAAATTGTTAGTGTATAAATAAGCCAAATGATCTGCAGCCTACTGACAACATGCTAACAGCCACAGTGACAGGAGTAATGTTTAGCGGCGTGTTGTCTTGCTAATAATGGCTAATTAGCAGGAATCACAAAGTGCAGCAGAGGCTGATGATAATGTTATTTGTGTAATCATTTGGTCAAAGACATGACAAAATCTATTCATTTAAAGTTGGAATGTGCAACATTTGAAGATCTAGACAGCGCCAAGTATGGCCAAGTATGTTAAAATACTTGGCCTGTGGCTTGTGTATGAACTTGCCTGGACTGTCTGAATATTATAACTGAAAGCAGCAACAGATTGACAGCGTTAGCTTAGCCATCTGCTATTAGTCACACTGGGAAAGCAAGTGACAGCTTCTATGATTTAGCTACAAGCACATAATGGTTTAAATCATTATGTACTGCTATAAATATTAAATTCACAACATACCAGTCAAGCAGAAAGAATGCCAAATGAGCGTCTGTTTCTAAGTCCCTCTTCTCTGTCAACTCCATCCACTGAAAACCAGGCTGAGTACCCTGCTAACCTGCCAGTCAGCTTAAAGATGTCAACAGAGCTGAAGCGCGTTCACATGTTGATTGACAGCCGTGAGTTCCCGCGCCTGACGGTGGCCTTCTCTGATTGGTTAAGAGTGTTATCATGGTCAAAAACCTTTAGAAGAGAAAATCACTGCACTACTCCCAGTTTGTTTGATGGGCCCGGGTCACAGGAGCAAATTAATATGCAAATTTAAGGAAAAAGCCACTTTAAATACATTAAATTAAATCAAGTAATTAAAACTGAGAAGAAATACTATATGAAGAGACTGAAGAACAAAACATTTAGAGATGTATTTAGGTGTTTTTAGGGTCAAATGTGATTGTTTGTCTATTGAAATTATTTATTTCTTAAGTATTTTATCTTAATATGAACAGTTTAATAGACTTCAGGATAAAATTAAGGTATTCTGTTCTCCAGAGGCAAACATCCAGTTAGCCTAGTAGGATGAAGTAGCAGACAATTCTGTGCAATTGTAACGATTATTACAATTTGATTATTTTTTATGACTAAAAAATTACTACACAGACCGCTCTAATTAAGCATAAAAAGTATGCAAATTATTCATCCTACAATCTGAACAAGTAGTAGCAAATATCAGCAAATCTTTTACTTTCAAAACGGGAGTTATTAGCGTCTTAAGTTTACTAAGTTTTATTACAAAGGAGAACGCTGACCTGACTTTCCAGTCAACCTGTATGTTCAAGGCTACAAGACAATGAGTTTTTATAGTAAAATATGATACTGTTTTAAGGCATCATACTGTGATATTGTGCAAATTTAATTTGGACTTTAGTTGTGTTACCTTAGACAAGATTTAGGGTTCAGCACAGTGAGTCAACATGCCAGTGACTCAGTTACAAATCACAAGTGTTTATATTCATCATATCAGACATTTGCTACTTACATTGGCAGCCTAAGTTTACACCCAAACAAGAAAAGTCTTGTTTCTGGCACCAGTGCATCATCACATTTGCCAAGAGCTATAATAAACAGAAGTAAAGACCAGCTCGTAGCTGGCAGGCAGAGGACTGTTGGTGCATTTTGGCAGCAACTTTCACCCCATCCTCTTCTGTCTGACCTTGATCTTCAAAAGGTCTTTCGTCTCTCTTTCAGGATCTCTGTAAACCTGAGGAATTTGTGAAGCCATATACTGACAGTCCCATCAGGTTTGCTGTAGCTTCAGGGGGTTAAAACAGAGCTCCTAGTCACAGTGACGGTGCTTTCAGGCATGCCAAGGAATCTCCCAACAAGGACACAAGTCAAATGTAGCCGCTGTTGTCCTGGGAGCAAATACCACCCCAGAGGAAACATCTACCGAACCTGCTCTTCATGCCTGTAATAACATCTTTAGCTGGTACTGTTCTTGTACTGTGGTGCTGACAGATTAATGTAAGGTATAATCCCTCAGAAATTCAGAGGAAAGTCATTGTGGATGGGAAGGAAGATAGAAAGCAAAAGAACAGCAAGGTGTAAATATGTAACTGTAAGTATGCTGTGTGTGATGCTATCACTGTCCATTTTGAGTACAAGAGAAATTCTTTGTGTGTGCTTGACACTGAGCAACAGTGGCCTCTGTTCCTCTGTGGATTCCTCTTTTCATCTTCTTCCTCATAAAAACGTTCTCCTCAGATTCTTTTCCAGCACTGTAAAATCATTTGGACAGATGGCACAGATATGATTATTACAGAAAAATTTTGGGAAATACACTTATTTGCTTTCTTGCTGAGAGTTAGATGAGAATACCACTGTCGTGTCTGTACCGCAAATGTGTAGCTGGAGTCAGCAGCCAGTTATTTTAACTCAGCATAAAGTCTGGAAATGGGGAAAACACTCTGTCCAATAATATCTACGTCAGTTTACAAGCACTTTTAAAGCTTCCCAATTTAAGACATTAAAACTTAGTTGATAAATCTATACAAAAACCAAAGTCTAAAATCAACTATTTGTAGTTTTACAGAAGTTTATGTGCTAGACCAAAACCCAATGGCACCTGGCCAAGAAATACTACCACACATACAGTAGCTCCCTGCAAAACCACAGATTGTTGAGGTTTTGGCCAGGGTGGCCAGGCTGGGGCACAGACTCGGAGAGTGGTGGCACATTTGAAAAACATGTAAAAAAGTAAATTAAACCCCTAGCTCGATGAAATAATAAACTACAAATTATTAAGAATCAATCAAATTATTTGTGTAAAAATGAGGCACACATACGTGCTTTCTTTAGCTAACTTTGGCTGGACCCTATATTTACACCCCATCGGGGACATGGACGCTGCACAGTGGTTCGTCTCCCAGCCCTACCCCTACCCACCCACCCACTGAGGTGAATCATGCCAAGTACTCCACAACAACATTTTTCTACATTTGTCAAACTGTGTAAATGTACAGTAAAACGACTTGTCAAGATTTAAAAAAAATCTTTCAGGGTCCAGTGTCACACCTGTCTCCTGTCTGTTGAACTGTGGATTAGCAGCTCCTTGTCAAACACATGTTTGAAAGATCATTCATGGTTCAGTTTTCAGAACAGGCACCTGCAATATATTTAACAGTTTAAAGGGAAAATCTGCCTCAAACTGCTGAAAAACAGCTGTTCATAGTATATTTTTCATTTCTGAAACCAATTGTTATGTTGGATAGTGCTCATATCGTTCAGGTCCAGGGTCACAAGAGGTTGGAGTTTAGAAACAAGGTCCCAGTTTGCTTTGGGTAAATAAACAGCCTAGACAGTTTTCTAATACAAGCACAGTACACATTTTAGAATATAAATCTGCCTGACAGGCATGTCGTAGACTCTTAGGAAAACATGCAACTGAAACCAGAGAGAATGTCAACTACAGATGAAAATTCCTTGGCTGGGAATCAACCCTATGACACTGCCACATTGCTCACTCTGTTTGATGGTGTCATTTTTTCCCCGCTGCAAAACACATGGGCCACATCACAAATTGTTCTCATTTGTCCAGTCATCTTATTGTCCAAACTTTAGTTTTTTAGCTTCAGATCAGGCACCACTGGTGCTCCAGCACCAAACCAGTCAGACCAGAATAGAAAGCAAAAAAGTTATTCTAAGTTTTGAGAAGAGGCTGTGATGGACAGTGCTTATATACACAATACTGCTCTTTTTTGGTGGTTGTTGAAAATAATTTTAGGGAAAGTAAAATTTAAAAAAAATCAGAGTATTCAAGGAATAAAGCAAATACGTGCAACACTACAGGTCTAAGGTATTTAACAGAGTGAGAGGTTTACTTCTCTACGTTCTCATGTCTGTCTGTTTAACCCCCAGGTCCCGAAGGTGAGTGACCTTCCTCCTCAACCCCTGACGTATGATGTAGGTTAGTTTCTCAGTGTATGAAGGGGGAGAGAGGGGAGAGAGATAAGTAAAGGATAAGTAAATGAGGAGTACTGCATATAGAAGCCATTGAGTTACTGGACGTCCCTTGGGGTTGACTTTCTTCATAATTACTGTGGGTTTGTGCAGGATTTCCTACTATATGTCATTACTGGTAGCTGTGTGGGCTGTTTGGCCTGGAGGAGAGCAGCGTGGAGGATTCCAGATGAGTGAGTTCACGCTGGGTATGTGTGAGCAAGCATACCTTAAATTTCCATGGAAATGGTGCAGTGACACTGAGCACAAGACGAAGCTTGAAATAGATCCACACTGTACAAGCAGAGTTCAGTGCTTATATATATATATGTTTCCTCGTGTGCAAATTAGACTTTAAATGTGTGCATTAAGGTGGTGAACGAAAAACCCTTATAATGCCAACATTGTGGGCTAGGGGATCCAGACTTGTGTGACCGTTCAACTGACATGCTGTAAGGGCCCTGCGACAGTTTCTCTAGGTAAAGGGGGATTTATTAACAGGATCAGAGGGTTTTCTCAGGACCCCTTAATCTGATAATTGGCTTCAGATTCAAACAATCCATCTAGGCCTTAAAACAGCAGAGCCTTTCATAACAGTGTTGTAGCTGTTGATCTACTCTCAGCCAGAGCAGGACTGTGAACACAAACACCGTCCCCTTTCTCCTGCCCAGCCTGTGTTTCAGTATTTTATGTCCCCTTCTTTTCGTCTGGATATATCTATTACTTCTTCACTCGGTCCCTTCTCATCAAGTCTTCTGTTTCCTAGCATCAAGTGAAAACAAAGCAAATATTTTCTACACTTAAGTGACAAAAAGCTTCATCTGAGCGAATAATTACCTTTTCACATGACTGATATTCCTCCCTGATAATATCTGGTCCTCCTGCTTAGCAGATACCCCTCCTGCCGTTGCTCCCTGGTTCTCCTGCAGGGCCTTGCGGGTACGTTTTCAGCCCAACTTCCCCTCGGCATGATGTCATTTCAGTTTGGCTGCATGAGCTGTAAGGGGAAAAGAAAAAAAAGGAAAAACACAGTTAGCAAAAACAGAACTAAGGAATGCAAACTGACTGACTGCAATGAAATCCATCAGAAGAGAGGTGGAGAGTGTCTCTCTTCATATCTTTAACCAGTCTGGGCAGAGTGAGATGTAGAGAGGTGTGTAGTATTCTGCCACTCCAGCCTCTGGCCTCTCGTAACGCTCTTTAAAACACATCAGCCACATCAAACAGTGTTGTCAGATTAGTCAAAAAGTAATTTCTCTGCAGAGCATTGCATTTGCAGCTATTGTTTCTCAGTAGTGAATGGAAAATTAGGACAAAATGGGTGTAAACTGACATATAACAGCTTATTATTTTAGCTATATTCAACAGAGGAAAACCAAACACTGATTTTTTTTTTATTCTGTTATTAAGCTTATCTATTATCACAAATATTATTCTTATGTTAATCCTGAACAAAACTTGGCCCTGAAAACTTTTGTGCTTACAACAGGGAAATTAACCAAAGCAAATGCATTTCATATCTTCAGCTCCTCATGATAAAATATTTTTCACCCAACCTCCCAGTACAATGAAGAGATCAGTGCCAAATACTTGATAAGAACTCAACGACAGCGTGGGCTGAATACTTGGGTAATGTAAGATAACTCAGAGAATGCTAGAAATCGTGTGAGATGTT